ACAACGAAAGAATATAGCAGATGAATTTGAATGCGAATGTAGCAGGACAGAAAATCGTAGGAAGAATTGTGAAGGCAATGGGATAGCAAATGAAAACGCTCATTTATGCAAGCACAGTAACAAAAAACAAGGGATTTTAAAACATCCACCTTTATGAATTTCGCTTCACGAGTGTCAGCAAATGATGGCGAGGCTTCTTCATACCGCTTCAGTGCATGTTGGGCATCGAGCTGCAATTACTTGAAATTTGTCTTTCTGAGGGGAACCAAGATTCACCAATCCCTGTACAAAAAAAAACATCCCTATAGAGATATGCCCAAAACTAATATGCCCTCATATAGTTAATACTTCCTTACAAATCCTTTTAAGCGCTAATAATTTGTAGTGAGCCTGGACCTATGCATTCTCGAAAACACTTGTTGTATCTCTTTCCATTGTTGATGCGATTAGCAATAATGACGAATTATCGGAATCGGCTCGTGATAGTTTTGCATAAGAACATTGAATTTCGAAAGCTTTGTACCGAAATGGTACTGAGAATAGCGAGAAATGCAAATCTTGAGTTCGAGCCAATCCTTAAAAATTAGCATGGGGCCTAAAAACCATAGAATGTGGAAGCTTTTGGAAAAAAAAGTGGCCAAATTTTCTAAGTTTCTAAATTTACAATCTAGCTGCTGAAGTTCAGTGAAAATACATAATAGTGAAAATCCAAAAATCCAAACAAAGGATGAACAAGAACCTACTATATCTATGCAGAGATAACATAGAAGACTTTGGAAGAAGTGGTTTTTCGCAGCATACTTCAAAGTTGGATGGTCAGCCTCCCACATGGCAATCTCTTCAAAGACTGATATTGCTTTTTGATACTGTTCCAGTTGTGCGGCATACTAAAAGAAGAAAGCAGTATAAGTACGTTCATGTGCAATGGCAAAGAACAGAAGAAGCAATACAATTGCGGATGCCAAGGCAGATGCATGCTCTGACACCCTTCCATGCATTAAATGAATTAAATGTGAGTTAAAGCATTCAGAATTATGCTGTTTAATAGCAAAGACTTGTGGCAAATAAGCAAAGACTACACAGAAGATGATAAATCGGGATAAACCAGGAACTAATCAAACATCGAGGACAATTGCTCCTACCTGAGCAACTTTGATTAGACACTTTGTAGCACTACTTTTGGCTTCTTCACCCTTGTAATAATCGGCAGCTTTTTGGTAATGCTGGATGCACAGCTCCATGTCCGGACATTCGTTCTCATATCTGAAAAGATAAGTCATAATTCCAACAAAAATATAAGGGAGAGGAGAAAATAATAGATAGTAAAAACATATAGTTCCTCCGAATGAAAAAGCTTACAGTTCGGCAATAGTGACATGATTTTTCGCAGCCATATTGAAACGACCCATATCAGTATAGATTTCGGACGTTTTCAGCAAACAGTCCACAGCGAGCTAATAGAAGAAGACTTTCGCTGACGTGAGGACAATGCACTTCTGTAGCATAAAACTTACTTGAGGATTGATTTTTCTGTA